CTTTGACTATTGGACTCCTGTGTAGAATAATATTTTCATAATGTCTAAAGAAAATAAGGTCATGTATGAGAATCTGTGTATCTCTGATAGTCATAATGAGGATTTTTATAGAGCCAAGAAATGAGTCAGGAAAGAAAAATTCTAAATAATTTTTTAAAAATTTTAATTTTATTCTTTTTTTGAAAAAATAAAGAGTTTTCCTTCTTCAAATTTTTTGGAGCAAACTATAAGTTTTCATGCTCAACTATTTGTTCGATTACTAAGAGTTTCGTCTCTCCTTCTCCACTACCCATAATAGAACTTACTAACTTCAAATTTTCTTTGACTCACCTCCCAAAAAATATAACTTTTCAATTTTTAAAATAGTTAGAAAAAATATTAAAAGATTCTTGCAAACACGCACATATAGCACATATTCACATGGTCTTAATGATCTATTTGATTTGTTTAATTTTTTTTAAAACGGGTTTGTTTTTTTTTTTAATTTATTTTTCCTTAAAAATAACCTCTTTTAAAGATTTTTTAAACCTTCTGATAAAGATATGAGAAGTTTTTTTATTTCGGTAAAAAAAAATAATTTGTACTATTTCTTTGCAGTAGTTGGAACGTCAATGGCAAAACCGATGGCGGTTGTAGCGTGGCGTCACTGAAATAGAGAACCACTAAATGGACGGTTTGGATTAATCCAAAGCAACGAATTTAACGGCGATGGGTAATGTTGTAAAATGGTTCGTAGCGAATCTCAACGGTCGAGATGGAAATTCTTTTCAAACCTCTGAAATACCCAAAAAGCCCATGGTAGTTTTAGGAAATGGCAAATGAGTTGAGCAGCCTTTAGCTGGATGACGACAAATCGACAATATATCAGATTCTTATTGAAGGGTGAAATATTAAATTAACTTCCCCACAAAAATAAAAATAAAAATTGTTAATACAAATGAGATCTAAATTTTATTATGGAGTTTAATTATTTAAAAATTAAGTTAATAAATATATTTATTAAACTATGAAGACATTTTAAAATGATTTTTTAGAGGAGTAAAATTAGGAAAAAAAGAAGTTTTATGTGGATATTTTAATATATTTTGTATTAAGATGAGGTTGATTTTTCTAAACATCTCATTCATTTCATTATATCTTAATATAATTAAATTATCAAACAATATAATTAAATTTAAAAAGATAAATAGAAATAAATTGATAGACAATATAGTTAAGCTATTATATATTCATAAATATAATATTGCTAAGCTGTTTATTTAATATTTTAGATGTAATAATTTAGTTGCATTTATTTTGTAAATTTTGTTTTATTGTAGAATAGTTTAGTTGTATTGATAGATAACAAACATGCATGAAATTAATGATATATATGCTATAAAATTACCCATATTCTAATATAAATTTGATCTGTCATTAGAAAATTCATCTGATTAAACATAAATTATGTTGTAATCCTTAAATTGAAAACTTTTAACATTTTGATTCCAAAAAAAAAAAAAAACTTATATTCAAATTGAATGTCTCAATAAGACAAACACAACGACGTCAAAAGTGATACCAATTATAGTTCAAACAACCTCAAATTATCAATCATATGAAGCGTAATTAGCAGTTTTGTGATATTTATTGAATAACTAAATAATCTTCAAATATTGCATATTTATACACAAATTAAACGTCTTAATGAGAGGAAACCAATAAACTTAGAATCCCTCAATTTTGAGATTATTAAGACACTGAAAGATAAAAGAATGGTCCATAATTAAAGGAATCTATATGGGTCGTCCGATTTAGTATTTAGAAGATTTTATAAGAATTATCTAAATATTACTCAAGAAAATTAATTATAAATAAATTGTTATTCTTTACATAAAATAGGACTTTTGAGCGTGGACATTGACTTGAAATTAGAGAGAATGTATAGATATGAAGATACCCTGCATTTGATACTAACAATCATTACTATATATCAATTGGCATTGCCCATTTCTCATCATTCTAGCTTCATCTCCTAATTACATTTGCCTAACTTATGTTGTCAAACCACAATCATCTAATCATTATTATATGAGTAGGATCTCTTAATCATTACATGACCACCATTATGTGACTGTTAACACCCATAGACTTCATCACCAAATATCACTAATAATGTTAATTCACACTATCATTTATAAAACTAATACATGTTGTTGTCAACACAAATATTGATGTATGCTGATTTTATCGCATTCTATCACCAATAATGTTGATGCATGCATCGCCTTTAATGTTGATGCAGGCCATCAACTTCATTACTCACCATTGCAAAAAATGTTGGTGCATGTCATTACTTATAATTAAAGTTGATGCATGCCATTGGCACTAACACTGATATCTGCCAACTTCGTAGCACGACATCATCAATTACATCGATAAATGTCATCGACATCAACTTTAACTTTTGACCCAACATTAATATTAATATTTGAATTTTTTATCCCTAATCTTCTCTCATTAAAAAAAAAAAAAACAAAACAAATATCAAACAGATCATAAATGATCCCATAAAAATAACCGAATAACCAAATGACGTAAGTCTCATCTAATTCTACCTTAGAATTTACCTTGCATATTTCATATCTACTATATTATATTAATCTTTTCTCCAATGATACTAAATGACATTATTTAGGGCCTACAATATATATTATTGGAATCATTTTAATCGCGTTACATCCCTTCAAAATTAATACTTATTTTTAATAAAATATGTAATATAAGAAAATTCTAATTATTGTAAAAGTATTTTTATAATGAAATTTAATAACCCAAGATGTTCAATTTGTGATAAATTTTAGTATATAAAGTCTATAAAAAATATAAAATATTAGCGGAGATATTTAATTTTATGTAAAAAAATCTATCATAGTAGGCATTTTTATAAAGACAATTAATGAAAAAATTAAAATAAAACTAAAGGATACCCATGATTTTGACAAGGAGAAAAGTTGTTGCTTGAAAGAAAATTTAAGTTATTATAAGTATATTTATTGGAGAGATGTCAGACATTCATTGATGTGGAGTGTTTAAAGATTTTCTTTTCACATAAAAAATTGCCATTAAATCATTATTAACATACAAATTAAGAATATTCAAAATGAATTGTTATGATGTATGTACAAATGATAAAATAGCAGTAAATGATTTTTTTTGAAGTAATTTTAAAAAATAGGATAATATATGTAATTTTTAGAAGATAAAAAATTTAAACAGATAGTATATAAATATTTTGGATATGAATTTAGTAAATATGAGCTACTGAAGAATGTTGAAAGATTTTTTTTTTAAAGGGATATTTAGGTCAATTAAGATAAATTCATACAGACATCACACACATAAGACTTAGGCTTCGTTTGGGACGGTTTTTTTACTGCTTCTTGAAGCATCTTTCTAGTACAAAAAATTTAATTTTTATACTAAAAAACTGCTTCAAGAAGCAATAAAAAAGACGTCCCAAACGAGCCTTAAACTCAAAACCTCTTAATTTGTAGCCAAAGCTCCCAACCAACAGACCAAATTAAACTACGTATAAATGCTGAAAAACCAATTGAAATATAACGATGGTAGGTTTTAATGAAATAATAATGAATCCTAAATGATAAATTAATGAGCATTTGAATGTGTGGTAGATTTAATGATCTTATTTTTATATATATTAAATGGATGGTTATAAGTGACTATAGAGATGACAGGGGATAAAAGAGAGCATAAGATTATTAAGAGTGAAAAACTTATCATAAAAGTTTAAGAGAAAAAATCATAATATGTTGCAAGTAAATTGATTGTGTTATTGTAGTTGTAAGTGTTGGGCATGCAATAACTTGTAAGCAAAGGAAAATTTGACTTAAAATATGTCATTATATAACTTTTAGGCTAAATATCCTCAGAATATATTTTGTTTGGTGAAATATATCATAAAATTTAATTTAGATGAAGTTATTTTAAATAAAAGATAACTTATTGTATTTACAAATTGCTCAATAAATTGTAATTAAACTCAGATTGAATCGGTTCAATTTTAAACTAATTTGAATTTTGTTTGGTCTAAGATATAAACCTTGCTTGGAATTGTTAGAGACGAAGCTCGCCGGAGGAAGACATCAATGATATCAATAGTATGTGAATAAAAAGAGAGTTAGTGATCGGAGCTTACTGGGGGCAAGCATTGATGGGAGCATGTAAGCTTCAACATAATTGTCGGCATGTGAAGAAGAAGAGGAGTCATGATGAGAGCTCTTTGTTGCATTGTTGGGACTAATGGGTGTGAAGAAGAAGACAAATTCATGATGAGAGCTAAATCTAGGCAGACATTGATGAGATGTTTGTCGTGTAAAAGTGAAGAAGAGTTCGTGATTGGAGCTTGTTGAGCGCAAGTATTTATACAATTATTGACATGTTAAGGACAAAAAAAGTTTATAATTGGAGCTTGTCGGGGCAAGCATCAACTGACTAATGCCACGTGAAAGAAAGATGGGCTCATGATTCAAATCAAGTTCAAACAAGGTTCATATCAAGCTTGAATCAGTTTGAATCAATTCAAATTTGAACTAGCTCAAGCCATTTTCCAATGACTTATGAGTCCAATGAGCAGCTTGAGAATATAAGACATTATCACTCATTTGCGGTAGTTTTATCCAAAATGAACTTTCAGACATATTTATCCAAATAAATATTTAGTGTATATATTAATTTGATCAATTACATGTATTATGAGTAATCTAAAGTCAAAATTTTCTGACTGGCTTATTCATAAAAATAAAATAAAAATTAAGGTGAGTTTATGATAAAATTAAATATTATATACAAAAAAATTTTCAATGATAGAGCATTTTATATCTTAACTTTGTACAAAGATTCAATATCGGTGATCATAATGATAAAATTATAAGAATTTCATATAAAAAATATATAAAAACAATTGTGCTTGGAGGAGGATAATGGAGACTGTTGGCAATAAATACCAGGAGAAGCCCAAAATCGTCCAAAAAGCCATTTTTTCAACTTTCAGGAGGCGGTTGCTTCCTTGTTCCTATCTCTCTTTCTCTCTCTCTACCGAACTCCTCCTGTCCTGTTAGTCCGCCGGTCATCTTCCACTTTACGTCACAGATAAAACTTTTTTTTTGCTAAGCGTAATAACAAAGTAATTATCTCGCTCTCCCTCTCTCAAATATCCCAACTGCAGACCGTTGACACTTGACAGGAATCTAGCTCCACTCTTCACCTCACCGGCCGTGCGCTCTCTCTCTCTCTCTCTCTCTACTGATGGCGTCCGGGCGGGGAGGGGTGGCGGCGCTCTGTCATTTATGGGCAGCGGCGATGATTCTGAGCTCGGTGGCTGGAATGTTCGTGGTGGAGAAGAGCGGCATCCGTGTTCTGCGGCCTGAACATATCAGGGGGAGACATGAAAGTGCAATTGCTAACTTTGGAATCCCTAATTACGGGGGCACGCTTAGTGGGGTTGTTGTGTACCCCGAGAAGGGATCCACAGGTTGCAGCCGCTTTGATGGTGCCCACTTCAAATCTCGCTCGGGTCGCCCCGTTATCCTTCTGCTCGATCGCGGAGGTAATCAATCGCGACCACTTGGAAATCGTTGATGGGGCTCTTATTTTTGATTGATTTATATGCGAAGTTTTGCTTCCGATTTTTGCTGAAGGTCGGATGTGTATTTATGAAGTTTCATGTAGCTGAGTATAGTGGTTTTGGGAAAATTTTATCAACTTATTACTGGGAAGAATATGAATTATTATTCTACTTCATTTTGGCCTTTTGAGGATCGAAGGTAAAGTTAAGGAAATGAAATGAATAACCACAAATTTATGGCTTGATTATAATTCTGCAAGCTGATAATCTAAGCTTTTCAATCCTTTTTTTCCGTCCTTCAACTCAAATTCTTTGCATCCAACACATCCTTTGAGATATTTTATTTATCTAGGGATAATTATAAGAAGGCCTGTCTCACAGTTTTACTGTATAGAACTCGTGATATTTTCAGAATATCTTTCCAGCTTCTCTAGTAGATTGAAACCCCAAAAAGATACTTGAGCAATTCCTTGGAATTTCTAACTTCTGAGGTTTTCATTTTCTAATTAAACCAACTTTTTCCCCGATTAGCAATTTCTCCCTTATAATGGAAAATATTTGGGGAAAGAAACCGTTGTGACAACTGCATAGGGATCGTTTATAATGATTGTAACTGTATATATCAAAATGATTTATAAGAAAAATAGATTTTTTTATTGCTGCTATGAATATTATAAACTTTTTTTTAATTGAAAGAGTTAGACAATAGCTATACGGCTACTATATTATGATAAATTTGATCGTTAAAGGCTGCTTCTTGTCATATAAATTTTTGAAAAATAGTAAGAAAATTACTGTCAAACAGAATTATGATAATTTTCTAAAAATAAAGTTGCGAGAAAGCTTTTTCAGTGAACCCTAAGTTAGCTCTTTATAAAAGAAACTGATGTTGCTCCTACTAAGGCTTCGTTCGTTTGGGATGGCTTTTTTACTACTTTTTAAAGTAATTTTTCAGTTAACAAATTTTACTTTTTATAATATAAAGCTTATTTAAGAAGCAGTAAAAAAACCATCCCAAATGAAGCCTAAGTAATTTCTTCTGATTTGGATAAAGAAGGGGATGAAGGGTGTGGGTGGGTTAAGGTTTGGGGTTACTCTAGTACCATGTGGCCTTTGGTTTTTTACTAGCTTATGCTAGCAGTTCTTTTATCTTTATTTCTTGAAGAAGCTTTGATATTTGCTAGACCTCTTATGTGCTTAAAGTTTTTTTTTCGTTAGTGGTCTCAATCATGTGATGGTGGTATCATTTTGAGCCTTTGTTACACCTTATGTAGATTGCTACTTCGCTTTGAAGGCATGGAATGGGCAGACTGCTGGGGCTGCTGCAGTCCTGATTGCTGACAGCATAGATGAACCATTGATTACCATGGATACTCCTGAAGAGAGTAAAGATGATGAGTACGTCGAAAAGATAAGGATTCCATCAGCTCTGATCAACCGAGAGTTTGGTATGGCCCTTAAGATGGCGGCGGCGAAGGATTCGGAGGAAGTTGTTGTGAAGTTGGATTGGAGAGAGTCCATGCCTCATCCTGATGAGAGGGTGGAGTATGAATTCTGGACCAATAGCAATGATGAATGCGGCACCAGATGTGATGAACAAATGAATTTTGTACAAAACTTTAAGGGCCATGCTCAAATTCTTGAGAGAGGAGGATATACTCTCTTCACTCCTCACTATATCACTTGGTATTGCCCTGAGGTTTTTATACGTAGTAAACAGTGCCAGACTCAATGTATAAACCATGGTAGATATTGTGCTCCTGATCCTGACCAGGATTTCACAGAGGGGTACGAAGGCAAAGATGTGGTCATTGAAAACCTTAGGCAGCTTTGTGTGCACAGAGTAGCTAATGAGAATAACAGGTCATGGGTTTGGTGGGATTATGTAACAGATTTTCATCTTAGATGCTCTATGAAGGAGAAGAAGTATAGCCGGGACTGTGCTGATGATGTTATTAAATCTCTGGGTGTGTTCCCGAACTTTAATTTCAGTTGGTCTTCTTCCTGTTAGCTTTGAGTTGTAAGTTAAGATTGAATAGTGACCCTCCAATGTGTTAGGTATGCCTCTTGATAAAGTCAAAGAATGCATGGGCGATCCTGAAGCAGATGTTGAGAATCCTGTACTGAAGAAAGAGCAAGAACTTCAGGTACATCTTTCTCCTTGTTCAATTTTCCAGCTGAAACAATTGCTTAATAACCTTTCCTTAACCTTCTTGTAATATGACAAATTTGATGTTGATGTTGTGGATTCATGCACGGGCTTAACCAGCACCTTTTTTTAAGGTGGCTAAAATTTCAAGTCATTAAATAATAATAATAATAATAAAATGATTATACATATATACGAGGGCGGATCTACCTGGAGCCCAGGATAGCGAAATCTCTATACTTTTACTTATAAGTTTATCCCCCTGAAATTAAAGCTAGTTCCGCCCCTGCATATATATATATATATATATATATGAACTACAAAGATCTAATAAGATAATACCATCAAAATTTTAAAACAGTCCATCGAGAGTAGAGGGTTAAGTTGAGCATTTTCCATAATTGATATTTCACTATATTCAACAGTCCTGTAAACTCTGGAACAAGTTAGTATGGCTAGTTCTAAAATAATTTGTTTAGGTTGGTCGTGGTGCACGTGGAGATGTTACCATTTTGCCAACCCTTGTTATAAACAACATTCAGTATCGCGGTATGTTTCATTTTTTCTCTTGGATCTTTTATGGCTTGCCATATGTGAGGAAGAGCCTCCGTTCCATTTGGTATTTTATTGTTTTGTGATTTTGTGTTCAGAAGTCCTTTAGTTATTTCCTGCAGGAATACTTGAGAGAATGGCTGTGTTAAAAGCAATCTGCGCTGGATTCAAAGAGGCAACAGAACCTCCTGTTTGCTTAAGTGGAGGTTTACATAGAAATGCCTTTCCTCATAAATGAAATGCATCTAATGTTCACATTTCTGCGTTATCTAAACTGTTAATTGATACTTGTTGTTCTTCTTGTAGATATCGAGACTAATGAGTGCCTTGAGAGGAATGGTGGTTGCTGGCAGGATTTGAGAATGAATGTAACAGCTTGCAAGGTATTTTACTATGCGAATATCATTTATTTGGGTTTTTAATGCTTTTCTAGAAACTGCTAAGGCAGAAAATAACTAATCTTAGTAATATTATCTTCTTTTTAGGATACTTTCCGAGGAAGAATCTGTGAATGCCCTACAGTGAGGGGTGTTCAGTATCAGGGAGATGGATATATTTCGTGCAAAGGTACTTCTTTTATTTGCATTAGCAAATAAGTAAAATTTGATTGTTGAATTCATGTTTTACGTGATCTCGTGAATTACAATAATTGCTCTTTTCCTTGCTTGCTTATAAATAAACTTGAGCATTGAATCTTTAAACTTTCAGTTTACTCTATTTCTCACCAAAACTATTCTCTAAATCCAAATTATATGCATTCTTCATATGACATTTTTTTGAAGTTATTTATAGCAAGCAGTAATCATTAAAATTTTGTTTCAAATAAATAAAAGAAGTGATAATTGTAAGTCTGTGTGGAATCTGATTGTGCCGATCAATTCAGTTGTATTGTTGTCTTGGACCTCAAGTCAATTTTTCATGCTTGCTGGATGCTGTGGGGGTTCTCCCCTTGCTTGGGTTCAAGTGCATTGCACCAAATTTTTTTTTTTTCCGTACAACCCTCGGTGCTATGCACCCGAGCACCCATCGTTGTGTACCCGAGCATCATAACGTTGTGTACCTGAGCTACTCGGCATTGCAAAGTCTTATGGGAGAAAAGACTGAGAGTAGAGTGCCGCAACACTCTAAATTCAGCGCCGCGACACTATTAGGTGGACAAAAGATAGAGCGTTGAGTGCCACAACGCTTCAAATTGGCTCGCGGTATTTTGAGGCGGATTGAACAATTTTCTTTCTTGTTTTTCTCAAGGGTGGCATCCCTTGATGGTATATAGAGGCTTTTCTCTTTTGTTTTGGTTAGTGAGAACGGTGTAAGTGACAAGATAAGCAAGGAGAGAGTGAGAGAGAAGAGTGATTTGTATCTATTTCTCCCAATTTTCATAGTGAATTTCTTGGTGTGGTATGGCTCAGTGATTCTTTCCTAATTTCGGTTTTTACAAGCTAAATTCTGGCGTCTTTTACTTTCCGTTGCATTCCATATTTTCTTGTTTTTTTCATTGCATGGTTTACTTTCACAACCCCCAACAATATTTATGAATACAAAAGGTTCATTTAGATGTTGTGTTCATATATATGATAATTTACATGATATCAGACTGGTCTCTAACAAATAATGAAATAAGTTTTCATGAACCGACTTTTCTATGGTGCTACTTGTTGAAGCAATAAACAATATTTTTAACCGCTCGTCTTGATTTTGTCTAGGGCTCTAGGGTAACTTGTTTACATTTAAGTCTAAATTACTTACAAAATTTAGTTGCAAAAGACTTAAAAAATTTACTCCATCGATCAGAGATTGAATATCTTACATGAAGTAACCATAAACAATTGGACAAGTCTTCTCACAATCATCAATTTGAAACCTTACTCTTTTATATCAATCAGCAAAATAGAAATTTCTCAAGGTTTAAACTTTTGTAGCTCACAACTCAAATCTAAATCAAATTATTGTATTTTATTATACTTATGTATAAGTAGCATAACGATAAGCATACTTAAAAATAATTGCAATTGATGAACTAAAGACTCATTAGGGATAAAATTAAGTAGACAACTTAACACGTTGGAGATACTTGTTGGGAGTCACATAGGAGTTCTCTCCATAGTTTTGTTAGCATGTATGATGTCACTTGTGTTGTTTTACAAGAAGTTGTTAAAGATAGAAATTCATTGCTCAAATAAGTGAAAAGTGAAGTTGATAGAGTTTATGATGCAATGGTCTTATTTATTTATTTTTTATTTTGCATCTTACGACAAAAAATTAAGAAATTGCATATGATTTTGGTCAAACATTACAAAGAAAGTCATATGACATCTTGATTGCACTGTATTTGATATCAAAACCATACATTTTCTTCAAAAAACTAAGAGAGAGAGAGAGAGGGAGGGAGGGAGAGGATCTTGGGAGGGGGAGCTGGGGGAGGGGGGAGGATGTGTTTCTTTCTTTGCATTAAATGGTTAATTAATTATTTTGTGATATGTAAGTTGTATGTACTCAAGATAGGAATACTCCATACTCTAGATTCCAAAGATCCTCTCATCATAGGAAGGAGTGAAGGACATAACTTTTCATTATCTCTTTAGAATTTTCAATCAATGTCAAATGTTGGAAAATACATGAAAATTGACATATATTAATATATTGATCAACTAATTTGATTAATTTTTTCTCTACTTATTTTGATTTCATTTTCAACAATGAAGATTGTTAAATAAAGTTGTGAAATAAGATGGAAGATGACTTTTTTGAAAGTTTATTGATAATATATATCGAGAAGGATATTATAATTTGATTAATCTTAACTCTACTTATTTTAATTGCAATAATTGAATTAGCGTTTTCATAAAGTGAAAGGCGGTTTTTTTGAAAGTTCATTAATAAAATATATTGAAAAAGGATATTATAATTTGATTAATCTTAACTCTATTTATGTTTGTTCAGAAAGTTAAAACTTATAATTTTGATTATTTTAGTAGGTGTTGGTCTGACCGCTTTTGTCTTTAAATCCTAATTTTGTAGCTACTTGTGTCCTATGGTTCTTGCACTTTTGCTTTTTGTTTGATTTACATTCTATAATACCTCTCCATTTATTTACAGCTGTTGGACCTGGAAGGTGTGCGATGGGTAATGGTGATTGTTGGTCAGAAACCAAGAACGGGCAAACATTTTCTGCATGCTCAGTTCTGTCATTTCTTCCCTTTCCAATGTTAACATGTTTCTTTTCTTTTTGTTCTCGAAAATTTTATTGCTCACATTGTCTTTTTTATGCATGAAGGAATATGATTTGAGTGGTTGCCGCTGCCCTTTTGGCTTCCATGGTGATGGCTATAAATGCGAAGGTGAATTTCTTAATTTTGATTTAAATTGACAAATCTTTATATGCTTAGAACTAATATGTTTTCCCTTTTGTTCACTCGAAGAGAAAAACAGAAAAATGATCTTATACTACAATAATAATATAATTTGTTGTTTTCGAGCTAGATATTGATGAATGCAAGGAAAAACTTGCATGCCAGTGTGATGGTTGCTCCTGCAAAAATACATGGGGTGGATTTGATTGCAAGTGCAAAGGAAATCTTCTTTATATAAAGGGAGAGGACACTTGTATAGGTAATAGTTTTAACTTAACAGTAAGATGATAACATTGATACCTCGTAATTTTCCCTTCATATTTTAGGCTACACGCTTCCAGTTAGTGCTGAAAATCTCAATTTTGTTATTTTAAAGATATTACAATGATGCATACTAATGGTCGGCCTCTACTTTCTTGTTTAATTTATCAATGACATGAAAGAACTAAAAAGTCAGTTGGGCAAAATTTGTATTCTTGGTTCTTGAACTATTTAATATGTAACTATTGCATGTCTGGTATCTTCCAATTTTTAATATGTAAAAGTTTCTTGCTGATAAAATTTTATAATAGATAATCTTTGATTAGGATCCGTAGAATTAAACCTGATTTCATTAGCACCAACACTAGCTGGGTAATGGGCGCAAGGATGTTTCAAAATGAACCTGCAGGTTAATATGATTATCTTCAGATCCATGGTGTTAATGCTTAAAAAAAAAAATGGTGTTAATGCTTCATCAAAATTTAGCTGATGGAGGAAAGAATCCCTATGAGGTTTTAGATCTAATGTCAATGGAGAAAGGCTTGAAAATATCAAGTTTGGGCTGCATGTTATATATGTAATGAGATCCTTTATATTTTAGGGGGGAATTTCACACTTAACTTCCTTCTACCTTTATTCTTAAATCCCAAACCAAATATTAAAATTCACAATAAAATTCCAAATTGAGTTCTCTTTTTTGTCAAAACATCTATGATTTGAGTGTGACATTAAAAAAAAACACAGACTTATATAGTAAAAAAAAGTAATGTGTCAACTTTATAAATACGGATAATTTTGATGCATGTTATGTGCACAAAAATCCTTTGTTTTTGTTGGCCACTTCATTATGTGTAAATAATTCTTGGAGCTTAATTTCCCCCCCTCTAAACTTTGATATGTGCCTAAAATTATTAGAGCAAAAACCATTAATTAAAATATTGTACACAGCTGTATACAACATTTCAATTGATTGCTGCATGTGTGTTATCTTTGCCTAATAAATTTTCTATTCAATGAACATCTGAAATTTCATAAGTCATAATCTTCTTAGAAAGAATTCTATGACTTTGTTTGGGACAACTTTCTTCTTGCTTCTTAAAGCAGCTTTATAGTATAAAAATTTTCATATTAGAAAGCCGCTTTAAGAAGCAGTAAGAAAGCCGTCCTAAACGAAGCTAGCCTATGCCTATTTGTCTTTCATAACGATAATCTAACTAAAAAAAACGATGCTGAATTCCATTTAGATCATTCTCATGACAAAAGCGTTGTTATTGGGGAAAATCCAGCTGGAGGCTTTATTTGTCCACAGTCAGTCCTTGTTTTAGCAAAACTATTATGATGTTTACATAGTTTTCCAAAACAAATGTTACCATTATCAAAACATCTCACTTACATTTCATCTTCCATATAACGCAGCTAAGAATTCATCAAGACTTGCATGGTTATTGTCACTCCTGGTTCTGTCATGTGTAGTTGGTGCTGGAATAGCTGGTTATATCTTCTATAAATACAGGCTGAGAGTATGTTTTATTCTCCTAAATCCTCAAACCAACCATACCATTTCCATCCATATTCAAGTAACATACTCCATTTCTTTCTTTCTTTCAGTCTTACATGGACTCAGAGATAATGTCCATCATGTCTCAGTACATGCCTCTTGACAACCACCACAATGAGGCCCAACCTCTGCGACAAGATTCCACCATATGATACAGTATAGTTTCTTCTTCATTTCTTATTTATCATTCTAATGGTGTTTTTCTCTCTTATAATTAGATTGATTTCGTATATTGCAGGGAGTTTGTATATTTAACAGTAGAGTTTTAGCACAGAACTCCTATGGAGTGTGGAAGCTTGTTGCTGCATTATCAGGATTACAGAATACAGAATCATTCTACAAATTTTACCTGTGAGAAGAAATGAAAGGAAAGGCAGGGCCAATTGTTTCAGTTGCTAATGTTGATTGTTGCCATAAATATAATAAGTTTAGGATCTTACCATAGAACTTTGGCTTAAATTTAGTAGTACTTAATAGAATGTAAATGTATATCACAGATGATTTATTTGATTTCAATTATGAAAACAATAAAAGAGGAATTAAAGAGAATGGCTTATTTGATTTGATTGAAGAAAAAGTGAGGCTTCGTTTGAGATAATTTTTGACAATTGTTTTTTTATTATTTTTATGAAAATTTTCTACGAAAAAGCAGTAAAAAGACTGTCCAAATGAAGCCTGAGTTAGAAATATGATTGAGATATATTATTTTTTATTAATTTATTTTAAAATAAATATTATATATGATTTAATTAATTAATCATATGTTACACTTAGTGATGAATAGAAAATTAATCTTGATCAAATTTACTTCAATAACCTAAAAATTTTCACCCATTTTGTTATGTAGATTGGAAGGTTTTTATAACATTAGTTATTTGATATTTTTTTTATTATTATAATTTTACTGAACGTGTGCAGATATTTTCCAATATCATCAAATTTAATGATAGGTTTTAGTTACTAAAAGCTCCATGTAATTCATAAGTAATTAATTAAAATTTATATTATATTAAGTCAAATAAGTTTTATAGATATAAATTTTATCTAATCAAAATTTAATAAAAAAAAAACTAAAATTTTGACTTTTTTAATTAATGCCATTTTTGAACACTATGTTGATGGTTAAAATAAAAAATAAAATCTTTAAATAATTAAATAAATGATACTGACATAAACAATTTTTTTAAAGCTCTAAATTAAGTAGTAAAACAATTTTTAATACTTACAAAAGATAAAAATCAGTAATGTTCATTTGAGTAGCGAGAAGTTCTCAAGGATTACAAGCAGACCCAACCCAGCCCGCGAGACAGCCGCCGGCCCATCCCCACCGTGCACCCCCTTCTCTCCCTGAGCCGTAGAGAAGTCCCAGCAGGTTGCCCGCCGCCGCCGTTGCTGCAGAGTTAACCGAGATCCGATTGTCCCATCACGGTAAACTGCCTTTCGCTTTCTTCCGCCCAAATTTTTTTTGCTCTTGCTCTTTCTGCGGACTTAGAAATTGTGCGTATGCTTATAGAGGAGATTTGAACGTGATGCGTGTCATTTTCTGTTCTACAGTGATGCAATTGGGGAGTCGGCACTTCGCATAGCCAAGGCTTTTGTTGAAGCCGATTTAGTCGTTAGGGTATCCTCTAAGTTGACGCCTCATACAGTGTCTTGCCATTTTTGTAACCTATGTGCTTGCTTGATATTATCCGGGCTCTCGTGAACTTGTCATTGGTGCTCATTCTGCAATATTTTGAGCTAACTGATGCCGTTTTGAAACCTGTTCAGGATTCGCAGGGATGGTTGTGTGGCATAGGTGCCTTCGTTCGGTTATTCGGCAAGTTGGCTTAAAGATTGAGCAAAATCGGTGCAATAGTGTCTTTTTACACAGTACATTTACAAAGCCTTCTCCTTTACATGGTAAGGAGAATATATCTATTTTTTAGCTATATGGGTTGGGAGTTGAGACTTGTCACTTTTCTGCTTTTAAATTTGAGACATTTTCTTCTGAATTCAACACATTGATCTATAATTTTTTATTTGATAATTTGAGGTGGTAACTCGAAGTGCAGTTGCTTCTTCACAACCAAGCGATTCACTTTTGGATGGTTGGGATTTGATGCCGGCTAGTTTTGAAAATCACTCTGATTTTTCCTGCATTAAATGAAAGTGATTTTGTGAAATCAAACTGCATTAAATCCTGGCCACCCAAAGTGGATTGATATTTATTCGGTTAGGAGATTGCACATTTGCAGTTGGTTTTGTTACATGCTGTTTTCATGTGTATTTAGTATTTTCCAGTGGCATATTGCTGTGCTAATCTTTTCATGGAGGTCTAGAATTTTCTTTATACTTAGATCAGCTAATATAGGATTGTTGGTATTGAACTTGTGAAATGTTGTTATTTGCTGAAATTTAAGGAATTTTTGGGTTTCCAAATCACTGAAATTATTTTTTGTATGTTTCCATTACAGATAACTTATGTTTCTTCACTATTTCTGTTGTATAAATTATTTCTTGTTATTTTTTAAAATGATCTTCACTCATCTTACTTTATAAATTTATTTCTTGTTATTTTTTAAATTTAACTTTATCTGTACAGACCAATTAACTCATACCAACAAAGTATGTGACATTTTCTCAAGAAGAATTCCTGGGCCTTTTTTTCAATTCTTCCAACATGAGGTATGCTGTTATTCGATTTTAATTGCCTCCAAGAATAAGATGAAAAAATTTAAGCTAGTTTAGCTTTTTACTTAGCTGTATATTGCTTTGAATGAGACTTTAAATTAAATTTCTTGGATTTTCCATGTCATTATATTTTTGAGTTATGCATTATTTCAAAATCTAGAAGTTGCATAGTTTTTGAGAATGCTTTTGAAATAGCACCCTTTTAGCTTAAAAATTTTCCTTTTACTTGCATATATTTGTAGATCCTTTTGTCTTCATTTAAAATATTGTATTTCCTTTGAAAGAGCCAAAACTATAATATAGGATTTAATGGCATAGAGTTCTTAGCATCCATTAAGCTACACAATTATGACACCAAATGAAGCCATAGCTCTTAATTATTCGATTGGCATGTAATCATGAGAGAAGTTCCATGTTGATGTCGTGAGAGTGGTTGCAATCAATGTTTACAATTGCGTATTCGGGTATTGAGGCGTTTTTCATTCGTGAGGCGAGGCATAAGCCTCAAGGCGTTTTGAGGCGTAAGCCTCAAAATCAAAAGATTGCGTAAACATAAAATCCTTATATTTCAGTCAAAATGGCCAACTGTGCTCTCACAACATAAATCAAGGATGTAGGTGCACAGATAGTTACATGCCCTATATGTGTAATTATGTTTGGCTCAAATTGCCCAATTTTTTATGCAACCGCTTAAATGTGTGGTTTCCATTATGTGTCGTCTGCTCCTAAGCAAGCAATCTTCCATCCTTTTCTTATTTTAGGGCATTTGCTGACATCTTCAAAAATACAAATGGGGATGTTTCTCCTATCTATAAATAAATCTTATAGAGAGAAGAGAAGATCTTGTAGGTAGAAATTATGTTAAAATTATGTTGAAACTGCAAAGATATAATCCTAAGCTATGCTGTAAAACTCTTGCCAAGTTAATCTAAATTCATACTTCTTTACATTCACATCAACACCTCCTTGAATCTTATTGGTCCAACTTTGGTTCTTCAAAGTACATGCTCAAACAACCTAAATCATTGTTCTGAAATATTTTTCTTTTATAAAATCATGTGGGCACTAAATGCTCACCCAACCCATATGTAATTGGAGAGAGATTTTTTTTTTCATGAGTATGGGAACCATGTCAAAATTAACTTGGCCAGAGTTTTATAGGAAACTTTTTGTGAACTATTGTCACATATGGCATGCAACACTTAATAGAATGAATTATGAATGATTCATTAGTTTGATCAAAATAGTTTGAATAAATGCAACGATTTTGATGGTTTAAATGAGAAATTTGTATGGCAAAATGAGTTTCCCTTTTGGTTTATGATCCTTTTTGGAATGTGAAGGGTATGAGTCTATTAATGAAAAATGTGAAACGCATGGGTGAGCAATGGAAAACGAAATGATAAATTTTTTATTCCAACAAGCTGGGGCTATAGTAATTTCATTTTTTCATATCTTCTAGCTTTATTTTCCTTCTGAATATTGATAGTTGATTTGACTCATAATTCACCTACTTCCTTAAGAATTACATGGGAGATTAAGAGTTGTATTGGGTTGTGCAGGGGTTTTTTAGTTCAAGGAACTTATTAGCAGATGCTGAAAACATGGAGCCTGTATCTTCCCCTTTAACACCAGTTTTGGGAGATAGCGGACAAGCTAACAATAAGGGTTTGGGCCCTAAATCTTCAACGGTTCAGGCTATTAAAAAAGATATAAGACAGGTACACTTAACTTATCATCCATAGTGTTATCTTGTACGTGTTATCAGTTTTACTTCTAAAATCAATGCTAGGCTTATCAAGTGTTCAATTATTACCATTTATTTTTGCCCTTACAGGAAGTAAACGTTTTGTGTTTTGTTGAACTTTTAACTTAGCCATGTTTTCGGAGTGTTACCAAACTCATAGCATGCTATACGAGGATATGTTTTTTTTGGAAAATTTTTGTGCTTGGGTCATCATAATGATCTTTATTATTAGCCTTATAACAATTATTATGGGCCAGATTTATGTTTCCTTAATGATATATTTTTTTTGTCTTATTAGTATATTGTTTACGTGCTCAAACCACCCATTATTCTTTTGTTATCTTATTTAAGTCTCCATATGATTCTTATCACAGTATTTTTGAGGTAGTCCTCCACTTCAATTTTTTATCATTAACTTCAGAAGTTACAACATAAATATATATATCCTCTTTGGTTGGAATAATTGATCAAATAAAATTTTGACCAATCACCCCTAGGCATCAATTAATCATATAACAATATTTTGATGATTATCCTTAGCTCGCACTACAATTACATATCATATATGCTACCTTTCTTTTAACAATTTTAAGTTTTTTTTTTTTATCTTTCTTTTAACAATTTTAAGTTTTTTTTTTTTCCTTTTTTTATCATTCTAATTTGTTTCCTACTTCAAAACCATTTAATCATATATCAATATGCCTTATTTTGAATGTTTTTGGTGAGGATATCTTTAATCAATATAAAAAAGTATGTATTTAGACTTGTAACTAATAATTAATGTAACGCTATTGTGATTAAACAGCTCTGTCTTTTCCATAAATTTGTTTAGCACGAAAATTGTTCCATATTAGATCTTCCTAGTATCAAAATCAATTTGATTATACACAAACAAGGTTTTTAAGACTATGGATGGATAACCTCTCTTTTTGCTTCATTTTAGCCTCTTACGATTCTTTTTCGTATAATTATCATAAATTTGAGCATCTATGTTATTCTTAAATTATGTACCAAAATATTTCTTTATGAATAGGAAAGATTGTCTTCTTTTGTATTTTATTATCAATATTTGCAACCAAGCTACCTGAATACTTTTCTTAATGTATGCAACTATTATAAAAAAGTTTCTTGAAATTTTGTCTGCAGATTATCTCATCAATTGAAAGTTATTGTCCAATTTTATCCGTTAACAATCTGTGTTGAGGTCAATGCTAAAAAATTGCTTCCTTTTCTTTGCAGTTGTTCCCTTGACAATTGACATGCAGCTTTTTTTCTGCATACTAGCGGCACATATATTTCTTCCCAAAGGATATTTTTGGTCCAAAAGTTTTTGATTTTGTTGCAGCACCATTATCATCTCCTTCATGTCTTTCCATATTCTCTGCTGTACTATTTTCATTTCTTAACGTTAAGGATAAAATGGAAACTCTTCAAAGATTGACCCAATAATAGCATAGCTTGCATCATCATCGTCAGTTAGAAACTTATCTCTTTGTTTTACTTTCTCTCTCTTATCTCTTCCTCCACATCACATTTCTTGCCTTGGCTATGCTCACCATACAGTATGGTCCATACTCCATGTGAGGAGTTATTAAACGATCAGCTTTCCTAAAACCACACCTGCTTTGGCCTTGAAAGTCTCAGAACCTACAGTGAGTTTTTATTCTTAAGGAGCAGTTCCACAATGCTTGCATCTTGCTTCTTTGATTATATTGACACCACATTATTATCTTGATAGATTAGTCTAATTACATTGGTGCCAAACCTGAAGGATGTGTCCTTTTAACCCAAATGAAGTGTTTTTTTTACTCATATGGCGTCCACTCTTTTGGATAGAAGTTGAGGACTAAAATCATTGTTTGTGTTATTACCCTTGAACTTGAAATTTTTATGGGCGGTTGTTTTTATGTACTAACAATCCATTATTCTTTACTAGTGTGGATGAGTTGTTTTAAAGTTTGAATATTGTAATTTAGACTTATTGTTTTCATGCTCCAAAGATTCAAGTTTATGAAGAAGGGGGGATGAAAAATAGAGGAAATTTGAATTGAGAGTTTAAAATAGCATGATTGTTTTTTTCTTTTTTTCGAGACTTAATCCCCTTAGTTACAGATATAGGAAGCTGATGTGGAAATTGTCGAGTGTCAGTCGACTCTTCTCTTGATCAAGAGAAAGAAATGCTTAACTCTTCAAAACTCTCTAAAAGTAGGATAATAAGGATTAGTCATGTTGATTTGTACATTTATAGCTTTGATACTGCACATTATCCTCTATGCAAAAATTTTAAATTCCCATATTTTTTGTCTCGTTGCACTTATTTTATTCTTAAATGCAGATTTTATTTTCTAATATATATTTTTATAATCTCACTAAAACAAGCTACCTTAAGCACGATCTAACGAACTATTTTTAGACTCCTGCAAAACTTTAACATTCATATGAACCAACTAGTTATTTTAGATCATATAACATTTAATTCAACTTATAAGTTTCAATTTACCTCTGTAACAACAGTTCTTAACAGATAGATAAATAAATAAATATATATAACAATAATTCTTAGAATATATATTAGCCTATTTTGCACATAATATGATCTATTTTTAGACTCTTGCGAAACTTTAACATTCTTATGAACCATCTAGCTATTTTAGACCACATCATATCTATTTCAATTTTTGAAGTTTCAATTTACCTCTATAACAACTGTTCTTGAAAGATATATATATATATATATATTAGTCTATTTCAAGCATAATCCTTGGCCAATTGTTATTTATTATTATTATTTTTATACTTCTAAGCCATTCATCGATATTATGAACGGTAAATTTTTTTCCTAATATTAAATGATACTTTTCCTTTCTTTAAAAAAAAACTTTTCCTTTCTTTTGTGCAATTTTTTTTTATATTATTTTATTCTTTTTTTAAATTAATTAGGTTATTATTTTCTCTTAGATAGTTTGGTCACATAAAACATTGGTCATTTGGTGATCATATTAGGAGAGTAGATGTGCTAAATTCAACCTAAGTATTAAGAAAGATAGAGATAGTCCTGAAAAGATTTTAAAGTATTAAAATGAACATTCTTTATTATATTTAAATGAGAGTTTGACTATTAATAGGGTACAATGAAAAAAAAAAAAGATTTATGTAGCCCGCCGTAGTGGGATAAAGGTTTGTCATTGTTATTGTTGTATTCACAACTCCAAAGTAATATTCTAATAGTACCTGCTTTTCCATTTTAAGTTATGAGTAATAATTATCCTCTCTTTCTTAAATGCACATAGTTTTCCCTTCATTTCTTTACAAAATTGGTTCTTGAAAATATCCTTTTAATCAAATTTGAAGAGTTGCTATATTTAATATCCTTGCCCACAATTAGTTCAATAGCAATATTCTTATTACCTATGCTATTAATCTTAATAGTTTTATCTTTTAGATCCTTTTTTATTATATCCTCAACTTCATTCGTATTATTAACCTTAACTTCATTCCTCACATTAAATAAATTGTAACCCTCCTCAATGTCTTTAAAGTATCTCTTTCTATTTAGTTCATTGAAAACACTCAATATTTATTCTTCTTTTAATAATTTTATCTATAAATTCTCTTGCCTTCTTCATTCAAACAAAACTAATCTTGGTTTGAGCCTTCGGAATCATTGCTCCTTTTTTCATTATAAATATATTAAGTTCTTGACTTGTGAGTGATGTCTTAGCTATTTATGTTAGTCAAAGTCTGATTAAGTTGTGAATGTATTGTTTATAGGTGAGAGATTGCAAACTCTTGTCCATAAATAAGTTAAATGTGATAAAAATTGAGAATGTCAAGATGGATGAATGATAGAACTGAGAAGAAGAAATTAAAGAATACTTATATTAGAGAAAGAGTGATTGCAAATAAGATAATTAAAAATAGATTTAGGTGGTTTAAACATATACCATAGTTGATAGAAAATTTGTCCTGTGTACGTGTTGAATTTCAACATCCATGTTAGAGGATTTACATGCATATCACTTTATTTCACGTTATTTACATATCTAATACTTAAAATTTTAATATTACATGCCTACCACCCATAGAACAAATATGAGTGTATGGAATGAAATATTAAAGTTTATGGGGTGGTATGGGTGGTAAGACTGAAATATAGGAGTGTTATATTTGATATTAAAATTTTATTTGAGTGATAAGAATGTAATATTAAAGTTTTGAGTGTTAGATATAAAAATATCATGAAATAAAGTGATATGTATGTAAATCCTACCAACAGTTAGCTTATACCTTGTTTATTGACATGAATACTGGTTTCAGAGCCCAAAGAAGGTAAATTTAGTGGCTAAACTGGTTCGAGGAATGCGCGTCGAAGATGCTCTCTTACAGTTACAAGTTCTGGTTAAAAGAGCTGCAAAGACTGTTTATCAGGTGAAGGCTTACCTGAATCAATTCTTTATATCCATTTTTGCAGAAAAACAATCCTCTCAAGGTTCATATATTCTCTTATGGCTTAGGTCATCCACTCTGCCCGTGCCAATGCTTCACATAATCATGGTCTGGATCCTGACAAGCTAATAGTTGGTAAGTTGGCACATTTATATCAGTTATATAGTTAAAACCATATTTGATGCATTTGATTAAAATCTTCTTCTAAATGTTTGATTCCAAAGCTGAAGCTTTTGTTGGGAAAGGAATTTATCTGAAGAGATTATCTTACCATGCAAAAGGAAGGTCTGGGATAATGGTTAGGCCTAAATGTCGCCTGACTGTGGTGGTAAGAGAGACCACCCCTGAAGAGGAGGCCAAGATTGCCAAACTGAGAGTTATGAACTACAAGAAGCTTACGAGAAAGGAGAAGCAGCTTGTTCCCCACCAACTCATTGAGATCACACCGAGGTGGAGCAGACAAAGGATGGATGAAGCTACCTAATTTTCTTAGATTTGCTTCCTTTCTTCTCCATTTTTCTACATCTTCGCTTCGTTTAGGATTGCTTTCTTACTGCTTCTTAAAGTAACTTTTTAGTAAAGAAGTAAAATTTTTATCTTAAAAAGATGCTTTAAGAAGCAGTAAGAAAGCCGGCTTCATTCCTTAATGTGAGTGAAAAAGCTTCTTGGAATTTCAAAGAAGGCAAAAAACCATACAGCCATTATGGTCGTGATCTGAAGCTTTACGGTGAAGGAATTGTTTTGAGCTCAAAGGCTCTTTAGTTGTGCTTTGGTCGATAAGCAAGCATAGCAGTTCACACTGAAGCCTTCAATTTGAAGTTGCCAGTTTGTCTTCGCTAAGTAATTGTGAGATGGCAAAACTGTATTCTGAATATTATGAGTCAATCAAATCTGTAGAACGTATAAAGTACTGCATTGAATCGTTTTTTGAGTTGAAGTTGATCTCCACCTTGAGTAATGAGACAAGAGGATCTTTAGAATTTTTTTATGCCAAAGTTTTAAATATGTTTTTTTTTTTCAAAAATAAGTTTTTAAAGAAAAACTTTGAAATATTAATGAAAAAATTGTCTTTCGAATGGATATCATATTTTATGAACGATTTCTTTAACAATGAAAGCAATCAAAAATATGTTCTATACAAACCATTAAAGTTAAAAAAAACTCGTAATATGGAAGGATGATTACATGAATCGTGTTCTGTTAGGATTTTTTTCGACCCTAATTGCCCGTTGGGTTTTCTAATCCTCTCTCCTTGGGGTGGCTGTCGTTATTGCGTCCTCCCACCTGACGCAGTTCTACGTTCGGCATAGATTAATCAAGTGCCACGTAGCAGGCTCATTTTCGCAGACCCGACCCGGAGAATATTGGGTTTATGGCACGTGCGATATTTGAATTTGACGGTCCGGCAAGCGAACCCAAGAAAATCCCGACGGACCTGAATTTTTTGTTTAATTTGCAAAATAAAGATCACTCTCTTTATTTGAATCCGGCAACTATTCTTCTTCTTTCAAGTTCGAAGCTCCCCGCATTATCAAGTTCGAAGCTCCCCGCATTTCCGTTAACTATTCATCTTCTTCCAAGTTTGAAGATTTCGAGAAGAAACAATGCCTCAGGTTAGTTCCTTTATTGATAAGCAATGTCTCATCTGATTCTTTGTGAATGGGGATTAGGGTTAGGGATTACGGATGAAGTCCTATATTACTCGGTACAAATAAGTATTGCTCGGAACTGCTCGGTACCGAGTGGTATTGGCAGTTATACACTATCGGTATTGCTCGGTACCGAGCGGTATTGGCAGTTATACACTGGTATTGCTCGGTACCGAGCGGTATTGGCAGTTATACACTATCGGTACTGCTCGGTATTGCTCGGTACCGAGCGGTATTGGCGTTTAATGGTTGGCATAAGCTTAGATAAAAACATTAAAGATATTATTGATTCAATACCGAGTTAAATCATTTGACACACTCGGTTTAGTTCTGTACCGACCGACATGGGCAGATATAAACACTGTATTGCTCGATATTGGCATTTAATGGTCGGTATAAGCTTAGATAAAAACATTAAAGATAATACCGAGCAATACCGAGTTAAATCATTCCTTACACTCGGTACTGCTCTGCACCGAGCGATTATGGCAGTTATAAACACTCGGTATTGCTCGGTATGTTGATCGGTACAGCTCGGTACAGCTCAGTACTGCACGGTTTTATAAACATTAACTCGGTATATGCTTGCTTTAGTAGTCTAAAGCCTGATATGAAGTCGGTACTCATCGGTATTACCTTTATTATGCATGGATATACTCCAAAGATTCATTTCAGATGCCGAACTTCGACTTTCAGAGAAGTATGTAATCAACTTATTCGGAGATTTGGAGATCCGTTGTTTGAAAGACTGCGTCAGTTGCAAATCAGTCAGTTCCCCAGGCTTCCTCTTATGCCTCATAATGTTCCACTTATATACATGTGCTAACGAATTGGGATTTGAAGACTGAGAGTTTTATTATTAAAGGACATATGCTAGAATTCACATCTGATGATGTTGCCTTAATCATAAGCTTGCCAAACATAGGTAATATATTTGACGTTGGCAGTGCTAGATCCACTGACAAAACATCCAATGACATTCGCCATGACATTGAAAGGATGGATACTTCAACCCAGATGGATGATGTAGTGAAAGGATTTGTCCTTTACCTCTTATCGAACATTTTTTATCCAATGACGAACTTCTATATTCCATCATCTATCATGGAAGTTATTGAAAATGTAGATAGTTTTATAACATACAACTGGCCATAATCAATAAGGAGTTTCCTAATAAATGAATTCAACAATGTTGCTACTAAACAAACAAAAGGATCTGCACTGGGTTATGTAAATGATTTCGTCATGATTATAATTGTGAGTATTGTTTAGTTCTTCAAATGATCATTTGTAATTTCCAATTTATGTAACAAAATTATATTGTCTTAATTTTTGCAGATTTGGTTTCTTGAACATACAACCATTCATGCCGTGGAGGATGAACTATCCCGCCCACGTTTTACTCATTGGGATGGTAATTTTATGTACAGTGAAAAAGATGTAAATAGTATATTTGCTGACCTTCAGGATCATGAGGTAGCTTCAATACATTTTTTCATTTAAATGTTTGAAAAAATTATATATTTTAATGTTTAACTTAGATGAAATTTTGAATTTTATACAGATTCTCCCACATTTAAGAGGAATAACAGATGATGAGAATGCTTTATTGCACAGACCTTCAAATATTTCATCTAAGTCGTCCACTCTATCTCAACCTAGTCCAGCCAGTCCAGTCTTTGTACCAAGTCCAGTTAGGGAAGCAAGTCCAATCCTGGTGGCGAGCCCACCTAAACATGATTCATCTCCACCAACACCAGCTAGTCCATACAAGGTGGCAAGCCCAAGAAAAACTGATTCATCTGCCCATACTCCGCTTGAATCAAATCCAATAACAGAGGAAACAAACCTCAAGATATTAAATCAAGCTATATACAAGTTTTTTAAGAAAGACAAATTTTTGAAGAAGAAGGTAGCTTCGGTGGAAGCAACAAATAGATTACTTGAAAATCGTGTTTTGAACTTGGAGCACTCTATTTTAGAGTTGAAAGAGGAGAATTTGGAGTTGAAAGAGGAGATCAAAAGAAAAGATCGTGTTATGTTGCAGTTCTTCAAAGATCAATTTCCTCTTTATTTTAAAAAATACAAGAATGAAGTGTCAGCTGAATGTTCTTCATCTGCTACAGAATATGCGAAAATTGGTTATAAGGATGCTAGCCCGAATGAGGATGAGGAATTTGATCCATCCTTAGAAATCGGCATAACAAGAAGAGTTCAGCAGAGAAATGATAGAAAGAGGAAAGTTGTCTCTACCCCTTTTAA